GGGAAGAAACTCGCAAGAAGATCATGACTGTGGAATTAAAGGCAAATATACCCGAAGCTAGGATATATCTCTCTAACCACAAAACTAGTGAAGATATGGGCTATAAAGGAAAGAAACCTATTGTGAAATGTAGCTACTGTGATACTGGTGGACATACACGAGATCATTGCTGGATTCCCCATCCTGAACTAAGGCCCAAGTTTTCTAAGGACAACCACAAGGGTTTCCCTAAGGGTTCACACAACTCATCCTACAAGGCAAATCATACCGTCACCACTCATTCCGAGTGAGCACAAAAGTTCACTTCCAATCCAGCCACCATGATCAATGAATTTGCTGCCTTCCTCCACAAGAAACAAGGTCATGGAGAAAATGAAGGATCAACTAGTCAAGGTGACAACATACAAGTTGCTCTACTCGGGCAATTTGCTGGTTTTTTGGCTGAAAATGAAGGTGTGACACAACAAGATATTCCAGGTATCTTACAAACCTTCTCAACTGCTCTCAAAGTAGGTAATGTGCATGATTATTGGATTATAGATTCAAGAGCTACTGATCATATGGCTAACAAGTCTACAAACCTGCATAATTTTGAAAAACTCTCATGTCCATGTCAAGTATTAGTTGCTAATGGTAAGGGTGCTATGGTTGTTGGGAAAGGAAAAACACATTTGATTTCTAGTGATGTTGAGTTTGAGACTCTTTATGTTCCCTCATTCCCTTTTCAGCTTTTATCTGTTGGAAGCATCACAACTCATTGAACTGTCTTGCTATTTTCTCCCCAAAAACTGTGGTTTGTCAGGATATCATCACCAAGAAGACGATTGGTGAAGGTTTTTTCTTAAATGGCCTTTACTACCTTTCCAAGCATGTCCAAATTCCCAAGGTTTTCCAAGTCACTTCCAGTTGGTTCAAGAACAACAACTATGGCACCAACGACTTGCACATCCTTTGGATAAAGTTTTGTCTTTTTTGTTTCCAAACTTGTGCAAAGTTACAAGTTCCTGTGATGTTTGTCACTTCTCTAAGTCCACTAGATTACCTTTCACTTCCTCCTTGTCTAGGGCTAGTAATCCTTTTGAAATCCTGCATTCCGACGTTTGGGGACCAGTCCTAGAGTCCTTTGACGGATACAAATATTTTGTAACTTTTGTGGATGATTTCACAATGATCACTTGGTTGTATCTTTTGAAATTAAAAAGTGAAGTGCTGGAAGTTTTTCAAGATTTTCATAGACTTGTAAACACATAATTTTCTTCAAACATTCATGTCTTACGATCAGATAATGGCTCCGAATATATGTCCCATAACATGTCTCACTATCTAAGCACACATGGCATATTACATCAAACTAGTTGTGTTGGGACACCTCAACAAAATAGGGTAACAGAAAGGAAGAATAGAGATCTACTTGAAAAAACTAGAGCTCTTATGTTTCACTCGAATGTGCCTAAAAAATTTTGGTCACAATGTGTTCTTACTGCTGCATATCTCATCAATAGATTGCCTAGTAAGATATTGAACTTTAAATCACCTTATGAGGTCTTGAAAGATAGATAGATCAATCTATCTCATTTGAGAGTTTTTGGATGTACATGCTTCGTTCACATACAAACACTAAATTGTGACAAACTAGATCCAAGGGCTGCCAAATGTGTTTTCCTAGGCTATTCATCCACTCAAAAGGGTTACAAATGCTACAATCCAACAACTAGTAAAATAGTTGTTTCAAGAGATGTGAAATTTGAAGAAACCATGCCTTACTTCACTCAACCTTTGAACTATTCTAGAGAGGGGGAGAATTTGCTTGACTTGTTCCCAATACCATATCCAAGTGAAGAGGATACAACAAATATTTCAAGGGACAAGGTATTGAATGAGGTTGATTCTCGCAACCTGCAAAATTTTCCACCAGTGGTCCCTGAAGAACCTATCTCATTAGAACCCTCAAGCAGTCCGTCCAACCAAGAAACTGCTCAATTGCCAGCAACTCAATCTCCCACAGTTCGTCGAAATCCTCCCAAGAAACAAAGCATGGTTGCGCGCTCTAATGCAGAAGCAGAATACCGTGCTATGGCTTCAACTGCTTGTGAACTTATTTGGCTCAAAAATCTGTTATTGGACTTAGGGTTTCCTCATCAGCAACCTATGTCTCTCTACTGTGATAATCAAGCTACGATGCATATAGCATCAAACCCTGTATTTCATGAGCGAACTAAACACATTGAAGTTGACTGCCACTATGTTCGAAATCAAGTACAGTCCAAGGTGATTGATACACACTTCCTTCGTAATCATGATCAACTTGCAGATATCTTCACAAAAGGATTACCGTTTGCTTCTTTTCATCATCTCTTGTCCAAGCTTGGGTCAATGGAGCCGTTTGATCCAGCTTGAGGGGGAGTATTGGAAGAAGATCTAGTCTAGTTACTAGTCTAGTTATTTGTCCTAGTCTAGTTACTAGTCTAGTTATTTGTCTCTTACCCTAGCTGAGTCTAGTTACTAGTCTAGTTATTTGTCCTAGTCTAGTTACTAGTCTAGTTATTTGTCTCTTACCCTAATTGGTAGGTAGCATGGGTGTATACATGAGGGTATTGTCTAACACCTAAAGTATGGTTGTCATTCTCATTAAAGTATGGCTGTCATTCTCCTTAATTCAAGGGGTTGCTAATTTTGCTTTAGTTGTTAGGTGATTAGGCGTAAATCAAGGAAAAGTTGTTTTTGTGTTTCTTGTTTCTTTCTTCTTTATATGCTCATTTATATGAGCCATCTTTGTACTTTATTCCTTCATAATAAAAAGTACACCTTCAAATTCCTATATAGAATTCTGGACAATTGGTAAATAAAGTAAAGTCTCATGTTTATCTGGGTAAGTCAGTTGTTCCCGTCAGTTCTTGGTTGAGAATTCCCATTGGAAGGCTTCCCTTTATTTATCTTGGGGTTCCAAATTTTGTTGGACGGCCGAAAAAAAGAGAGCTTATTTCCAAGTTTTGGCAGACAAGATTCGTAATTGTATATCTGATTGGCGTAGTCGTTCTCTTTCTATGGCTGGGAGGGTGACTCTTATTAATTGTAGTTGTCAACATGCTATCTCACACTTTTTTATATTTATGCTTGGCCTAATACTGTTTTATTACAAGTTCGCAACTGGGCTTGTAATTTTATTTGGACAAGGAGTACAAATTCTCGGGCTTATTTCCCTGTTTCTTGGAAGAAATGTTGTGCCCCTCTAAAGGAAGCGGGTCTTGGAGTGAGGAATTTTCAAGCTCTTAATCAAGCATTTCTTTTGAAGAAGTTTTAGGATTTTTTGACTACTTCTTCAATGGCTGCTAGTTTTTTTCATGCACGATTTTTTACTAGTACCGGTCAAGTGTGATCTTATTATAAACAATCTTCTATTGGCTTGGTTTGTGGCCATTATTTGTAGATGTTAGTCAAAACTCCAAATGGTTGGTGGGCAATAGTACTTCTTGGTGGGCAATGGTACTTCTATTAACTTTGGCATGCAAATTGGATTGGTGACTCAATTGTTAAAAGGTTGGATATTCCGCAATCTCTTGGTAAACTTCTGTTCGCGCCTGTTTCAGACTTCATTCATAATGGGAATTAATTTTGCCCTATTGATATAACTATCCCAGCCTTTCTGCTATATGGTCTAAAAATTCCAGAATTAAGCTTCCCTTGTCGAGATTGGATGATAAATTAATTTGGTTGATTATTTCCGATAGTGTACTATCTCTATCTTTGGCTTATGACTTTAAGCGTAATAAGCAAGTAGTTGTTCCTTGGAATAGATGGTTTTGGTGTAGATGTTTTCGACCATGCAATTCTATTTTATTATGGGTTATCTTCATGGTAAGCTTTTAATTGATGATTTATTGCTTCACTGGGATTCTCTTTTGTGTCGATGTGTTGTAAGGCTACTAAGTTAGCTCCACATTTATTTTTTGAGAACTCATTTTCTTTGGAAATTTGGCGTAGACTTTTAAGCCTTATTTCAGGTTTCTACATCTTTCTCCAATATCACATCATTTTTTTTCTTATCCTTTGCGGCATGGTTTTGGTACTTAACTTCAATTATTGTGGTGGGGTATGATTGGGGCAGGTTTTTACACACTTTGGAAAACTTGGAATTTAATCCGTTTTGAGGGAAAAATGTTTACAGTTGATCAGTTGGTTGTGAGATGAATTCTTAGGGTATGGGCTTTATGTTAAACTTAGTTGATGAGCTTTGCATTCTTAGAGTGCTTAGAGTGCATGGAAGGCCATCAAGGGTGCCTAGAATTCATGAGGTTGTTTGGAATGCTCCTTTTTCTTTTCAAGTTAAAGTTAACACTTACAGTACGACTCGTGATTCTCTGGGTATGGCTAGTTTTGTTGGTCTTTTCTATGACCACTTGGGTCATTATCTTGGATGCTTTACAAGATCTTTTGGTATTGCTACTGCCTTGGAAGCAGAACTCAAAGCTATTATTCATGTTGTTTATACGACTTTGGATAGGGGTTGGCATTCCTTTGGATTGAGTGTGATTCTTGTTTAGTAATACATTTTCTTTCTAATAGATCTTCTCAAGTTCCTTGGCGTTTATCCGTTGATTAGGCAAATTGTTGTATCATCCTCTCTTCCATGCAAGTTCGATTTTCTCACATTTATCATGAAGGAAATTAGGTGGCATATTGTTTAACAAACTATGGTGTTGATCATGTTGAGGTTCATTGGTGGGATTCTTGTCTGCTGTGTGCAGTTGCGGCTTTTGCTCATAATCTTTTGGGGCTTCCAAATTTTCATTTCTCTTAGAAGTTCTCTTAATTGATATTTTGTTTCTAATAATTTTCTTCTTCTTGTTAAGGTTTGGCTTCATGTCCCCTCTAACTTATTGTATTTTTTACTTTTTTTCTTTAATATATTTCCATGATAATGTCTTTTTTTCATTATAGCAATGTTGGAATGGATGTGACATTATTGTTAAAAAAAAAAAAAAAATCCTCTCTGACGGTGATCAAGAGAGGAACAAAAGCAGGACGCAAACCACCGTGGCAGTCGCGGCTAGGGCTGCCCGGGGGAAGACAACCGATTTCTGAGTCAGAGTCATTGCCATGAGAAACAAGGCAAGAACAATCGACACATAAAGAAGGCGAAAAAATACTTTGAGTTGTAGATTTTCAGCAGTTGCTGTGATCTTTATCGGGCGAATCGTACACAGAAATACAACTGAGAATGCAGCTGGGAGACAACCGATGAGAAGAATCAGAGCTTGCCTGTCCTGAAATCCATAAGAAACTAGGTAAATTTGGGTGATGATAGCCCCACTGAGCCCGATGTACCCTTTGAGGAGGCCGATCATAATACCACGGCTTTACGGGAAATTTTTCACACAAGTAACGTGTTCACAAAGCTTAAAGAATTTGCTGCAATGTAAATGTATACACACATTTGCCAGATTTCCGGCTTGACGATCCTTCCCGTGACGCCTAACCACATCATGAAGTAGCCGAAGAAGTTCATGGCCGCCCCAATGAGGAGCACAAACCATGTTTGCATAACCTCGGCTATTAAGCCTGCGAAAATGCCGATGTTGGCCCCAAGGTCTTTGAAAAATCCCATCCAGTTGAGGGTTTCTTGGTCATAGCCAAAAGTGGTTTTGAGCTCTTTGGAGTAGGTTCCAAACAGATAAATTGTACCTGAACCAGCCATCACCATCAACGAAGCAAAAACGGAGAACCATCGGCTTTTTGCCATGAAAAGTACAAAACGCGGTAGATTTCTGGTGCACACAACTGATGGTGGGGGTGGTGGTACCTCTGTCATTTTGCCTAGCCCTTAGTCTTTGGTTTGGGTGTAAAAGCACTGGATTGGATTGGTTTGGATGTATCAGTATTACTAATTTACTATGAAAATATTATTTTCTTGCTACCAAAAAAAAGGAAAGAAAAACCCAAAATCACCTGCAAATTTGTTTTTGGTAGCCATTTATGTATTTTCTAACAAGATTTGGAGATTTTTAGTATATTTCGGATTTTTTACAAATTCTTGGCCAATCTAAATGTTAAAATACTCCAAAGCACCATATAATTTTCGTCAAATTAGTAAAGCATTTTGAGGAGCCTCATGACCACTGCAGCTCCCTTAGTGCAGAAAACAGCATTCCGACACAGAAGTTTAGGTTGAAACTCTTACTCGAGTTTTCGAGTTCCAAATGATAAGCATAATCGTATGCGATAGAGGTAAATTTACAGTCAATTGAAGTGTAAATCTTGTGTATTATTTGTAAAACTTGGATTGCACTCTAAGCCAAGTTCATACATCCATTAACATTTTACACACTTCTCATTCCAAGCATTCACAGGCTTTCCTTATCAACAAAAGAAAAAAAAAAGGTAATACAAAGCAATATTGCCAGGGTTTGAAAATTACGTTGCACAACAAAGTAGAACTATAGCCCCGAAAAACTTAAAAAGAGGGTGGTATGAAACGAAACCTACGGGATCTATAGAGATATTTGAAGAATAAAAATGTAAAAATACAAATGAAAAATCATTGCACGAAGGCACACAAAGATATAATACAGCATTCCAACTCTGTATATATTCAAAAAAAAAAAAAAAAAAAAAAACGAAGAGGAAAAACACAGAGATGGGTAGAAACTTTCAGAATTAGGGTAAGAGGGCATGTTATCATCAGCGAAAAAATATTAGCTCAGACTCCATACCCGTATGAGCATCTAACAGGTATTATCATAACCTTGTGATAGTTGGCGTGTCCACTACCACAATTGCGCTTTCCTTTCACTATCCCTCTTGGTTCTAGGGGGAGTACAAGGGGCAAGACGTGAGCTTTGGACTGGCTGCGTTTCAGGGTCATACTTCTGTGAAGCAAGGTAAGTCAAAGCTGTGACGACATCAGCTATAACTGGCCGCATATTAGGCTGCTCCTGAACACACATTGCCGCAACTGCAAGAGCTTGGTACAAGCCCCTTGGGGGATACTGACCCTGGAGCGTTGGGTCTGCCATTTGTGAAAATTTCTTTCGGTCTTTAAACAAGGGTCTTGCCTGCAAAACAAAGTAGTAACATATGAATGTTAAATATCAGAATAAGTTCTGATTTTGCAGAATTCATTATTGATGGTCAGTCATTATTAAGAATATGAAAGAGCTCAAAAGGCTTCATTACTTAAAAGAATATGAACGACCGGAACAGAATGGAATTTCTTACCCATGCAACCAAATTCTGTTCTCCTGTACCTCTGGTATTGTCAATCGCTCTCCTGCCCGTTATAATTTCCAAAAGAACTACGCCAAAGCTATAAACGTCTGATTTAAGAGTCAACTGCCCTGTCATTGCATACTCTGGAGCACAATATCCATACGTTCCCATAACCCTCGTAGATACATGGGTGTTATCCCCAACAGGCCCAAGTTTGGCTAAACCAAAATCAGACAGCTTTGGATGATATCCTTCACCGAGTAATATGTTGGAGCATTTCAAATCTCTGTATATAACAGGAGGACTTGCTTTGTCATGTAGATACTCCAATCCCTTTGCTGCTCCAGCGGCTATTTTCATTCGTGTATTCCAATCAAGTCGTCTCTTACCAGGTGACACATCTGCAAATCAAGATTATGAACCAGTTCCACCGAAAAGCTAACTAAAGAATCATTAAAGGTTAAGAAGCATTTGAAATTTGGTAGTTAATGCAAAAGATAATAGATACCATGTAAATGGTCGTCCAAAGACCCTAGGGGCATATATTCATAAACGAGAAGCCTTTGATCTCCATCCGCACAATAACCAGTAAGATTAACAAGATTGGGATGGTGAAGAAGACTCAACATCAACACTTCAACAAGGAATTCCCTGTTCCCTTGTAATCCATCACGATCAAGTTGTTTGATAGCTACTACCTACACCAAACACAACAATAAGTTTCACATTCCACGGCCAACTACATCGGATGCATATTAGAAGTTCAATCCCCTAGTTAGCTAGAATCTTCATCACCTAGTTTGCAAACCGTAGTCTTTATGAAGAAATTGACTTCAAAATAATCTTCCCCCAATCCACTCCCACCCAAAAAAGAAAAAAACCAGCTTTGAAAATATCTACACAAACATATATGTGTAAAGCACATACAAAACCTTTCCGGTTGCTTTTCATGTTGTGATGAAATACAAAGATAATCATGACTAACCTGATTGGTACTTTCCAAACGTCCTTTGTATACTCGACCAAATCCACCCTCACCCAATAGACATTCTGACCTGAAATTTCTAGTTGCGGCTGCCAATTCACGGAATGCAAAAGTCTGTGCCGCAATGTGATCAGACCCCCCATCTTTCGGATCCTCCTTGACACTCAAGATGGAATTAGTCTTTGAAAAACCTAATCAAATACGGAAAAGAAAGTGAGACCTTTAATAGATAAAAAGTGTTGGGGATTTCGGGAGAAAACAACCAGACCTGTAAACTTATCAACAAAAATAGCAATTTAATTGTAACAAAGATTGAGCGGGATTTTACGGATGATGCCAAGCTAACCGAAAACAATCCTATATGCATTACCAGGAGTATAAGCTGCATTTCTGACAAGAAAACAGCAATACAATGCTACAAAGATGCCTTCTTTACCAGTGCATTTTATGATACGACATCATAATTCAAATTTATTCATCAAATTTTACTACAACAACAGTTCATCCTGTATCAAATTCAATCCCTAAGAAATCTCAAAATTTGAAAAATTCTACTCAAAGGGACTAATCTGCATACTAAAAACTGAATAAAACAATTATTCAAGCAATCAAATCATCAATTTCCCCCCTTGGACCTTAAACTTCATAAGAAATATCTAAAAGCTTATACCACTAAATTAAAAGAAACCCAGATGGGTAAAAACAATTACCAAGCCAGTAAATTCATCTCCTAATCACCAGCAGCACAGATTGAGGTAAATTTTGATTAACCAGCGAGTACCTGAAGTGGGTTTGATCTGATCAAGTGGCTTTTCCTGCAACTCAATCTTGTTCTTCCTTTTCTTCTTGGTTTTTGCTTTACTGTTGGAATTACCAGAACAGGGAATCATCATCCAACCCATGTTTTTATATCTAATGTTTGAGAAGCCAAAGAGACTCAAAAGAGAAAAGCAGCAGTTAGAAAAAGCACTATCCGCGGAGACTCTTCGAAAGATAAAAAGAATCAAACTTCCCCCCAACTCCCCAAAAAGCAAAACCCAGCACGAGCGACTCACTCAGATAGCGAGAGCTTGTAAACTTGTATGTTGAAAAGCTGGAAACTTTACAACATACTCTCTCTCTCTCTCTCTCTAGTTTTTGTTTATGTAACATTTCCAAAACATCTTGTCTCCTTTCCGAAAGTCCTCGCTTAGGGATATTGTTTTCAATTAGCTGAAAAATGTGGGGGCCAAATGGATGGAGAAGATTGAACCTTTCTTTGATTTTTAGGAGAGGGAATACGTGTATCACCGTCGCGTTTTAGATTTAATAATACAGGTAATAATGTTGTTTAGATATACAAAATCATTACAAATTTGATATAGTTTTAATAGTAATTTGACGCTGACGTTGAGATATTTGTAATCTTAATTGTAAGAACTCATATATGTAACGATGTCGATTATTTACATACTAATTAATGATAAATTGCGCTGATAGTTAAAGCATCTTCAACGCGTTGCGTCTCTATGTTAAACTTCTCACTTCTTCTCTTCTTATATTGGTATGGAATACCTGTTATAATAAAAAGAAAATAAATATAATCCGAGAGAGGTGTGTGCAAGTTTAACTATAGGGCTCATCTATCCAACGGTGTAGCAATTTACAATAGTGTTACGTATGTGGAAGCTTTCTGTCGTTTCTTTAATTTTTCCTTTCAATTTTTAGTCACAGTCAAAAGCTCACAGCTGGTCACAAATGGCTAATTTAGGACCTCAATTTGGTACACACTATATATGCTAAATATAAAATCTATATAATTGCATTTTGTTTATGTGACTTTGATTTGATGATGTTGGTCACGTTCGTTTATATTATATAAATTCCTTGTTTGGGAACTTAGAAGTAAGCACATTTTCGATTCCACCAACTTTGGTGTTTTTTTTTTTTTTTTTTTTTTTTTTGCTTTTGTGGTATGAGATATATTTGAGAATCTAACGCCAAATTTAGGTAAAGAAAACATTATAATAACGGTCCCTTAAACAAATTGAGTTATGTTGGAATGATTATTTCTACAATTAGGTTAAAATTGAGGGACCATTGCTCTAATTGGGTTAAAGTTAAAGGATCATTTTTCTAATTGGGTTAAAGTTGAGAGACCATTGCTACAATGTTTCTCATTTAGTTTTCCATATTTGCCTCTTAGTTCAGCCTTACATGAGTGGCACAAGAATTATTTTGAAAGAAATTCTAACGGAGTTGAGGAAAATAACTACAACTGCACGTTTTGATGAGTTAAGTGATCAATAGTCACAGATTTTTAGTTAAGAGTTCGCTGCATAAATTGTGCTAAAGTTAAGTGATCATTTACACAATAGTAAAAGATTTGACCGACAATATTGTTTTCATCATAGAAAGCACAAAGAGTGTATATCATTTGATATGTGGCTTCCATTGTGGTTTGGAGGGGGTCTCTGATTTATGTGATCTTTTCCTCGATGTTCAAGGGTTTAATATATCCAAAGTATTCCTACAAATTATAGAAAAAAAATACCTTCTTTCAAAAACTTTGACAAAGAATAAACTTTCTTCTTCTTTTTGTCATTGAAGGAGAGAAATAGTAATAAACGAACATATTA